TGAAAGGAAATTAACACTACGGAGCCTCCTACCCTACTCCTAAAAAGATGCTGTCACTTACTTGTCCAAGCAATGATGGAACCTGAGCTGGGAAAACTATGGTCTGAACAAATCGAGTAGCTCAGCCCAGGTAACCGCGGACAAGAGAAACCTGGGCCTCAGTCTTTTTCACATCACGGTAAACACGGAAAATGGTATTTGTGCAGTGAGGTCACAGAGAGAGGAGAGGCTTGTGGCAGCTGGTGGCAGTTAGCCCCGAAGCCCCAGGCCCCACCCTGAGGGGTCACTATTTCTGCCCACCCAGAACCTACTCGAGCTGGGCTGGGAAGAAGTGTGTAAGCACACAACTGTTGCCTTTTCCATTGCATTCAAGCTCTTCCCAGTATCTACACCCAGGTCAGCAGCGGCTGACTCTGCTGAACTCCAAGGAAGAGTTAGGCAACCTCCAAGCACACCCCAGGCCACAAACGCCCAGATGGTGGCCTCTCCTTACAATGCAAGCCCTTTTTAGAAGTTTAAAAAAAAAAAAAACTGGAAAAAAGTCTTTTATAAAAAATATTAAGTCAGTTTTTCTAAAAAGACAAAAATCTGTGCATACTCTTACTCCTGCCAGAAATTCTCTCTAAAGGCAGCAAAGGCAGCCATTCCAGTAGACTTAGAACAAAAACTGCTAAAGAAACACAGCAAAAGACATTCTGTCCAGTGTTATCTGTCGCTCAAGCAAAGGTAAATGTCTGACATCAGGGTCCATCTGGGCCTAGCATCAAGAAGGAAGCTGAGAGTTGGCACATCACAGGATGGGTGAGGGGGTCCCCCAAGGCAAAGCACAGCAGAAATACCTAAAAGTCTAACAGACATTGAAAAGTTACGAGGCCTCTGGGATTACACACACGACCCAGCAATGAATAACTGAGCATTATTCTGAGAGGGCTGGGGAAGACCAAGAGAGGACCAGGAAAGGCTAAAGTGCCGCCCTGGAAAATCCCTACCAGCCCCAACACGAACCCTGGATCCAGGTTTAGATCTGTGTGTCACCTTCCAGGGTAGGAGGGCGCCTCCAGCCTGACTATAAAGTTTCACTGGAAGAGCCACACCCACCTGTTCAGGTCTGTCCCTGGGTGCAGTGGAAGTACCTATCAGAGACCACAAGGCTCACAAAGCCAGAAATACTTACTCCCTCGCCCTTCTGAGACAGTCTGCAAGCCCCTGTTCTACACAAAAGCAGCCTGGAATGACAAAGTTCCTTCAATGACTCACAGTGATTGTCAACAGAAGACCACTGGCAAGATCCACAGAAAGGGCTGTTTCCACTAAATAACAGAAAACATGTACATTTCTAAAACTCGATAGACCAATTAGATACCAACTTTGTGTTTCATTCATTTGCACACTATTCTGATGAACACACTCTGGACAGCTATTGCCAAACAGCTTGTTGTATCAGTTCATTATATAAGTAGTATGCCAGAGCTGGTATTTTAACAAAGGTTAAAAAAAGAAGTTATCCTGCTTGAAAATATGAACAAATGCTTCAAGGCCACCTATCTGTTCTCCTCATTCCCACTGCTCACTGAAAACAATGAAATACATTCTCTGTTTTCCTTATAACGAAAGATATATAGTATACAAGGATAGTCAAACTATTTAATTGCCAAAAGAAAATCAGCAATCTAGAGGTTTTATGACTCTAAGAATGAATAGTCCTCCATTAGTCCTATGTATAAGTTTAAAACTTCTCAACTGTTGTACCCTGCCAATAAATTTGATTACTATTATATAAATTACCTTTAAAATTGAAGGGAGAAGGAATTAAGTTGAAACTTTCAAAAGTAAGAAAAAACACTTAAAACATCTTACTGTATATTTATAAAAATGCTGAAAAATAACTGCTGATAAGGTAATCCAGAGCAAACAGTAATCATACATGCCATTTACAAAACACTTAGTATTTTACTAACTTTGTTGCCATATTTCATGTATAATATACTAAAATACCTTCCCACATAACTCTTGAGCAAATATTTGAAGGGACAAATATTTTGAGTGAAACTAGGAATGTGGAGAGAGTATCACTTTGTGCATCTACACTTCACATTTTTTAAATACCAAAGCCTATTTAAAAAGAAAAAAAAATCAAATTAAACAAAACCTAAAAGGAATTCTAGGGACTTACTATCTAATTAAGAAACTTCTTTTCCAAAATTGCATTAAGTAAGCATTTCTGTCCCCTCCAGATGCCCTTAAAGGGTGACTCCGTTAGTAATACTAGAAAAACACATTTTAAAACATCAGACAATTTCTAGAAAAAACAGCTTTCGGTTCTAGGAACAATCTCACTGTAAATGCAAAAGCCTGTAGAAGTCTCACTGTAGTGACTGACATCTCAGACCACTTATTTAAGTGAAAAAAGAAATCTACATTTCAGTAAATATACAACGGTCAAGAAGAAAATACATGAATATTCCCAATAAATCAGTGCCTCAAACTGTCATCTGCAACCACCAGAAACATAGATGGAAGGGAGTATGAGGTGAAATATTCAAGTCCACATTCTGGTCGTGTGAAACTGCAAAACTGAGTTCTATTATTCGGGGACGTTAACACCGAGGCCCCCAGCCTCCCCTCCTCCACTAGAACGCAGCCATCATACCAGGCGTGCCTTCCTCATTCTTGCAGTAAGTGCTGCTTTACTGGGCTGGAAAAGGGCTTCCGAGACGGTCCAGCCAGGAGAAGCTGTGAGTAGTGGAGAGGCGTGGAGGGCAGCAGGTGCGATCGGGATCAGTGGACCCCAGCAGAACAGCAGTGCGGATTAGCAAATGAGTCTGCACTCGGGGGGTTCGTCTTCACTTTGGCGACTGCAAACCACTTTTTGTATGTGGAAAACGTCCCAAATTAATTGTAAAAGCGCTTAAGGATTTGGAGTCTTAACAGTTCTCGGTTTGCATTTTCACACGATTTCAAAGAACACCCCCCCCCCCCCCAACAAACATCAGTCACACCAACTGGGGAGCCCAAGGTGCAGCTGAACCTTGAGACGAGCACCGGGCGGGGGGCGGATCCCAGGACCTGCCGCCGCCCACACCCCCCTTTATGCGTTTAACTGACCAGCTCCCCCCATCCTCCTTTTCGGATTTATCTCACAATTCTCCCCACATCTCCCTTATCTTGCGTGTTTACCGCGCAAGCCCCGCCCCTCTGAAGAAAAGCTCCGCCCCCTCCCGCCAGCCCCGAGCTCCGGAGGAAGTGCCCGCCCCCCACAGCGGGAGCCGCGCCGTCCTCGCCGCCCATTGGCTGCGGAGGCCGCCCGTCTGCAGGGGGCGGGGCCTCCCCGCGCGAGGGCGGAATCCCAGGCCCGCGCCTCCGGCAAAGGTCTCGGGCAGCCCCAGACCCCGGGAGAGCGAGCGACCAGTTTCCACTAGGGGTACCTTCGCCTTTTAATTTCGCCGCCCTCCTCCCGTCGGCCCCATGCAGTTTAAAACTTTTTCAAAGCTCGAACCTCTCCCTCGCCACCCACCCACCCCAGCAAGCTCCCACCCAATCCAGGGCCAAGTTGAGGATGCTGCGGTTTTAGGAGTGAAGCAAGCTGTGGACTGGATCTCTGGAAATGAAATTCCTTACGTCTTCTGTTAACTTGTTTTGGGTGCACTGGCCTTCATCAAGTGTTCTGGCCAAGAATACTCGGCGTCCATTCACCAGGAGTCACCGCAAGCATTACAGAGTTAACTGTATCTCCTAACTATTCACCCTTTTCACAGTCAGACTGTCCCAAAGGTACTATAAATTTTTTGAGGGAGAGTGCTAAGCCATTCTCCGACCACACCGCAAGAGCTCAAGATCCCTTACAGAATGGTCACGCACACATTCTGCACTTTATTCTGTAACGCAACCTGGCGAGACGCGCAGTTGTAGCCTAAAGGGAGTATGCATACTTCTAGAAACCGCAAATTCCTTGGAGAAGGAATTATCAACAGTGATTCTAATTATGGCGGGCACACAATGCTCTACAAACTATGGGTATTTGTTTCAACGCATCCTTTTGATCAGTAGCCTCAAAGCAGAGGAAAAATCATTTCGTTTCTGCAATGCTTCTTTCAATTCCGTCACCAATAACGCTCAAGTATGGAAACATATCTTACTGTAAATAACTATTTTAAGTATCCATCCCTAACTGCAGCTGGGCAAGAACAAGACTCATCTGTTTGAAACATCATCTCCCTAGGCCTACAATTTACAGGGAAGAGGTAACAGGGCTTCTTAAATCTCACTGCAGCATCCTTCTCTAGGTTGTGCTCCCTTCTTGACACTGTCTGGGGACAATGTAGTCTTATCACTTTTTCCTCCTTTTTGCCTTTGATCTCCGTTTCGTCTCTGATTTTGGCCTCAATGTTCAATGACTTTCTCTTCTGTTGCCATTCGCACCACCACCATTTGCTATTTGCCTCGCAATCCTTCTCTCTGACGTCTCCTAGTCCTGACAGAGCCCCAGTAAAGCACCTTCTCCAAAAGGTAGGTCATCCTCCCTGCACCCCACCAAGCCCGTCAGCAAAGCTCCCACCACCCACTTCTCCCTGGAAGTTCGCTCTGCCCCGTCCCGCGGTGGCCGATGGCTGACAGCTGGACCCAGCCAATCCGTGAGGAATAAATAAGAGGCGCAGCCAATGAGCATGCGACGGGAGGCGGGACTTCGCCAAGTTCCTCTGGTCCCTAAACCCAGACCTGTTGCGCCGCCGCCGTGGCTGCCGGAGTTTCTTAGTTACGGCGGCAGGCTCGGGCGCCCAAGCCGCGCGGGGCACGAGGCTCTCCCCACGGCCCACGAATGGCCCGAAGCCCCCCGGCAGCGCGCGCCCCGCACCGGCCTCCCTTCCTCGCCCCCACCCCCGGCGTGGTCCCCAGGCCGCCTAGCGCGGGCCCGACCTCCCCTCCCCGTCTGACTCCCGCGGGCAGCCCCACCCGGCGGGGCCCCGGCCCGCGCGCCCGAGACCCCAGCGGCAGCTACTCACCAGGAAGCGGGGAGCTTTGCGTCCTCCGGCCCGCGCAGAACCCGGAGCGGGCGGGCGGCTCGGCCAGGCGGCGCCGCGGACAGGCCCGCTGGGCCCGGGGCTGTGGCTGCGAGGCCCGGAGCGCTGGCCACCTCCCGCCGCGCCGCTCCGGCGGACGCTGCAGGCGCGGGCACCCACCCTGCGCACGGCGAGGCGCGTCCGGAGCGCGAGCCTAGCGGCGGCCCATCCTCCCACAACTCCCGCGCCTCCTCCCCCGGCCGCGGCTGTCAGGAGTGTAAACATCCCGGCATCCCCGAGGAGGGGGCGGGGCGGAATACGGCCCCGCCCCGCGCTACGGCCCCGCCCACCAGAGCCCCGCCCCAACCCGGGCTGGGATCGCGCTGCTCAGCTGGTACCCTCAGACCTCAGCATCGGAGCCCCTACCACCCCTGCGGGCGCCCAGGCGAGTCTGTGGAAGCCTTCCTGTGGTCAGGCCCAGCCCTAGTCCCCTCTTTCCGGCCACCTTCCCTCCAATTCGGGGGGTCGGCTGCCTTTTGAGAACTTTAAATGCCCAATGTGCAAGCAAGCGGTCAGCGGAACTGGTATGTCGCTTTCTTCTGGATCATCGAGTTTTTTATCCCAGCCTAGAGGACAGTGGCCTTTAGGACATTTCTAAGAAGTGAACTACCTGGTTTGGTCCTGGGAGTATTTGGTGGGGGGTGGAGAGGTATATATTAAATCCTAGAACCCTAGAACATGGAACTACACAAGGAATGCTGTGAATCCAGCCGCTTCGCTACTTCGGTAACCCGGGGACATGGCTAGGAAGGGTCAACCTCACCTTGATTTGAATCTCACGTGGTACGTGAGCGTGCTGTCTCTTCAGTTGTGTCTGACTCTTTGCGACCCTCTGGACTGTACCCCGCCAGGCCTCTCTGTCCATGGGATTCTCCAGGCAAGAATACTGGAGTGGGTTGCCAACCATGGCCTCCACCAGATCTTCCCCACCCAGGGATCGAACCTGTGTCTCATTGACATTGAAAGGCGAGTTCTTTACCACTAGCGCCACCTGGGAGGTTAACTCTGACCTGGCAGGACAAGTTATTTCACCTCACCTGGAGTCACACTCTGTGTCTGTAAGAGGACAGTAGTAATAATACCTATCTCTAGGGCTTCCCTCAGCTGGTAAAGAATCCACCTGCAATGCAGGAGACCCCGGTTTGATTCCTGGATGGGGAAGATCCCCTAGAGGAGGGCATGGCAACCCACTCCAGTATTCTTCCCTGGAGAATCCCCATGGACAGAGGAGCCTGGCGAGCTACAGTCCTTGGGGTCGCAGAGAGTCAGACAGGACTGAGCCAGTAAAGACAGCACTAGGACTGCACTGGAATTCAGTGAGACACAGTGAAATGCTTAAGCACCAGGGCCTGGCACAGAGAAGTGTTCACTGAGTAGCTGCTATTACTCCTGGGTCTGTTCACCAGTTTGGCTCCCCAGCCAGCGGATTCGAGCCAGGAATGAGTAGGTTATAGCTCAAATGCTGGAAATGTTAAACCTATGGAATTAACATTTAGAAGGCTTATTTTTAGAGAGAAAATAATTCAAGATCTCAATAGAAGACTTTTATTTCAATGGCTAATAACGTATAAGTAAATCTGCTCAGCACTGTTCTAAGAAGTAAAGCAGTTACCAAGACACAAAGTCCCTGATCTCATGGCCTTTACATTGTAGAAAAGGCAATAATAATACAATAAGCCAATAAATGCATACTATGAAAAATGGTAATTCATTCAAAAATAAAGCAGCATGTGAAGAGTCATTGGAGGGGTGACCAAATCCATTTGGGTTTGCAGAAAATAGCTCTGCTGTGGAGAACAGACTGCAGGGTTGGAACTACTAAAATGGTTAAAAGACTATTTATTATAAGGATCAGGTAGAAGATACTGATGACTTAGACCACTGTGCTAACAGTGGAGATGTTAATGGTCAGGTCCAGATACGTTGCTAAGGTACAGCCAACAAGATTTACAGATGAACTGAACGTGGGGTAAGAAGGTAGGCAAGGGACTTCCCGGGTTGTCCAGTGGCTAAGACTCCATCCTTCCAATGCCCAGCTTCTATCCCTGGACAGGGAACTAGATCCTGCTTGCTTCCACTAAAAGAATCCACGTTTTATAAAGTAATTAGCCTCCAACTAATAAAAATAAATGGAAAAAAAAAAGAATCCATGTCCCACAACAGAGATAGACAGTCCCATGTGCCACAACTAAGACCTAGTGCAGCTAAATAAATAAATATTAAAAAAAAAAAAAGTAAGTACGCAAGAATGAAGCCAGTGAAGTCAGCATTTGAACCAGATTGCTCTGTCAAACCAAACTCAGTCAAATAAGAAGTGTCACTTGAGTTATACACAGGCACACCCGGCAGGAAAAATAACAGAGTACTCCCAGGGTGAAGCTGTTTCAACCTGATTAAGGTTTTCAAAAACTGTCTTTTGTAACACCTTTTAGAAATGTACATAGATAATAAAACAGCCCTAATTAAAGTACACATTCTGGTATACAGACTAGATACTTCATTGGTATAAGGAAAACACATATTTCTTATGAACATTGACTAACAGGGAAGTGGATCAAAATGAGCCCAAGAAGCCCTGGAAGATTCCTATCATGGCTGTATGGTGCCCAGAATGTTGACATCATCATCTTCACCTTAAAAGAATACAAAGCTACAGCTAAATAGTGTACAATGCTTCAGAAGTTGTGGAGACTGTCTAGATACAATGCACTTTCTCTTTATGACTTTTCATCACCTCTTTGCTGATAGAGAGGGCTGTGCCCCTGCCCTGGGGCCCCTGGCCTGGAGCAGATGCTCATGGAAAAGCAGAGAAAGAAAGTGAAAGTGCAAGTCACTCAGTCATCTCTGACTCTTCGGGATCCCATGGACTGTACAGTCTATGGAATTCTCCAGGCCAGGATACTAGAGTGGGTAGCCTTTCCCTTCTCCAGGGGATCTTCCCGACCCAGGAATTGAACCAGAGTCTCCTGCATTGCAGGCAGAGGTCTAGCCAAAGAGGCTCCTCTGGTCCCAGGAATCATCGGAGCAGAGTGAGCTTTACCTGGTGTCCCTTCAGCTCCCACCAAGCTTGCTTCAAAAATGCTTGCCTGACTCCATGAAATGCACTAATTACAGTCCTTAATATGTGCTGCTGCTGCTGCTGCTAAGTCGCTTCAGTCGTGTCTGACTCTGTGCGACCCCACAGACGGCAGCCCACCAGGCTCCTCTGTCCCTGGGATTCTCCAGGCAAGAACACTGGAGTGGGTTGCCATTTCCTTCTCCAATGCATGAAAGTGAAAAGTGAAAGTGAAGTCGCTCAGTCCTGTCGGGCTCTTCGCAACCCCATTGACTGTAGCCTACCCAGGCTCCTCCGTCCATGGGATTTTCCAGGCAAGAGTACTGGAGTGGGGTGCCATTTTATATGTGTTACTTAGTGTTTATACCTAATTACCAGGTAATACATACCATTAACTAGCAGATTAACTTTTCTGTAAATGATATTTGATTATGACACTTAAAACCGTTCAGTGAACACCCCGTCTGTGTGTTTTGTTGTTAATATAGGTCTGCCGCGCATGCATGCTCAATCGTGTCTGACTCTTTGAGACCCCCATGGACTGTAGACCACCAGGCTCCTCTGTCCGTGGGATTTTCTAAGCAAGAAATACTGCAGTGGGTTGCCATTTCCTCCTCCAGGGGATCTTCCTGACCCAGGAATAGAACCACAAGTGTCTCCTGTGTCTCCTGCATTGGCAGGTGGATTCTTCACCACTGGGCCAGCTGGGAAACCCGTAGCTCTGCTGGCCCAACATAATTAAAAATAAAAAAGTAGGGACAGTATGGATTATCGGAACCATTTTCTTTTTAACCTGCAGGCTAACCCAGACCTGGAGTCCCATATCGAGTTCAGAGTCCATGTACCATCTCTGTAAGGAGAGAAGTTTGCTAGATGAAGGATGAAGGATGATGAAGTCATATTCAAAAGAACTCTCCTTTGAAAGAGATCCTAGCCAGTGGGGTAGACCAGAAAGCTCTAACCTTCCTGACTCATACAAAGCGCTGGCAACAGGTGTAAGAACGAAGCTGCTAGTGACCCTGGCAGCCACTGAATCTGGCAGCTGAATAGTGACAAGGCTTAGTCAAGCTGTTGAAATGTCTGGACTAACCTGGGCCAAGAGGAGGAGGTCAAAGTGCAGCCTGCAGACAACCCCAGAGAGATCCCTTTCCCCTGAGCCTGGCCATGGTCACTGTACAGTGGCAGAAACCCCGTCTCTCCCAAACTATGAGAAGGCTCAGGAAGAACAACTGAAAGCTGTGTTTTCACTCTCAGGACCTCTCGCACTGAACTATTAACAGATCATGCAGATGAACTACCCGTTCAAACAATAAAGTCTGCTTCATTTCATGCTCTCATCAAACCCCTGGAATTCAAAGTCACGGAAAGACAATTCTGCTCTGTCCCAGTTATCTAGTTCTGTATTTGGAGAATACAGTTCCTGGTTAAAAATAGCAGCATACTGACAGTGGCTTTTTCCTAGCTATTTTTGTAGTAGTTTTAAGACTGAGGAAGCATTTCAATATCATGTGTGTGTGTGTGTATACACATATATACATGTATGTGAAGTGAAAGTGGCTCAGTTGTATCTTACTCTTTGCATTTCCATGGGCTGTAACCCACCAGGCTTCTCTGTCCCATGGAATTACCCAGGCAGGAATACTGGAGTGGGTTGCTATTCCCTTCTCCAGGGGAGCTTCCTGACCCGGGAATTGAACCTGAGTCTCCCTCATTGCAGGCAGATTCTTTACCATCTGAGCCACAGCTGCTGCTGCTGCTAAGTCGCTTCAGTCGTGTCCAACTCTGTGCGACCCCATAGATGGCAGCCCACCAGGCTCCCCTCCCTGGGATTCTCCAGGCAAGAACCCTGGAGTGGGTTGCCATTTCCTTCTCCAATGCATGAAAGTGAAAAGTGAAAGTGAAGTCTCTGAGTTGTGTCTGACTCTAAGCCACCCCATGGACTGCAGCCTACCAGGCTCCTCCATCCATGGGATTTTCCAGGAAAGAGTACTCGAGTGGGGTGCCATTGTCTTCTCCCCTGAGCCACAGGGGAAACCCCATTTACATATATACATATATTTAATGTAGGGATGAAGCACAAACTGAAATCAAGATTGCAGGGAGAAACATCCATAACCTCAGATATGCAGATGACACCACCCTTATGGCAGAAAGTGAAGAAGAACTAAAG